TTTACAATATGCTAGACCTTTCTAACCCTAAATCTGACCCTGATCCTAACATAAACGAACTCTAAAGAAGTTTGTCGGTATCACGTGATCGAAAAAATTTTGGTGGCGATGCTGGGGAAGATCCGCTTTAGACGTCCCCATTTGTTTATTTTGTAAGATATTAAGAACTAAAAATAAATTGCTATATTTACTTAATAATTATTATTATTAACAATTTTTTTTATTATTAGTTAGTGTTGAAAATCTTGAAATCTTTCTCAAAAAAAAGATTACAACATTTATGTTTTTTTTTGTTAATATAGATAAATTTTTTAATAAAAATAATAATTATAAATTATATATTTATAATACATATACAGTAATTTAGTAAATTTTTTAAATATTTGAAATCATTTAATAAAAAAATATAAAGTGTAAAAAAATAAAAATAAAAATCAATCAAAATTGTATTATTATGTATAGGTATTTGATCTAATTTAAATGAAATGAATAAAATGATTTACTTTCTATTAAAATTAATAGTCAAAATCTATAATTTTTGTAAAAAACCAAAATTTTGAGATCACTACATTTAATGTTGCTAAACATGGCCAAGCTTTTTTAGATTGCATAATCGCATTTTTGCCAAATTAAAAATTTCCTACCACTACGTTGTTTAGCGTTAGATGTGGTCACAATCATCATGAGTACGTATGATATTGACCGATATTTGCAATTACGTACGTACGTATCTTACTATGTACGTACGATTTTTTTACTATTTAAAGCCACATTAAAATTATATTGTCTTTTTAAATCGTATCTCCCCAATGAATAAGTTCAAATTTTGCAAAAAAAAAAAAAGCATAATTTTGTAAACTTATCTAAAACTACAATATAATGCCCTTTTTTTGCAAAACTTTAAATATTCGTTGAGAAGCTACGATTTTGAATGATTTGCACCGTATCTAATTTAAGTGCCGCAAAAGAAAAACCTGTAAATCTTATGGTTTTCCTTTTGCGGTACTTCCTTAATTGTTGCATTTAATAAATTAAGGATCAAAAATTTTTAATAAATTATAAATTGTCACAACGATCAAGTTCTTTATTGACCAGATTTGTAACTCGCACTATCTCAGCATCTAAAAGCCTTCCCGAAAGTGTAGATCGTGTGATGGTGGGTTGTATTTTAATTTTTTAAATAAATCCTGTATAAAAGGATTTTGATTACTTCGAATGGGATTCCGGCCATTACCCATGCTTTCAATAATGATTGATCGATTTGGCATTTTGTTTCTGAAGGAAAACAGTCCATATTTTGTAAATCATTTGCTTGAACACGAGTTGTATTGGCATCCTCAATTAACTTTTGATGCCAGTAATGGCTAATATTTTCAGGGCATTTTACACAGTAATTTGCCAAATGCGCCTTCATGATTTGTTTCCAATAGCCGAACAGTGAAAACAAGTTGCTTTATAATGACCGTTGCCCCTACCAGGACCTTTTATATAAAATGATCAAATTTCATCAAAGTCGAAACAGAAATACCATTCAACTTTCGCTTTCATGGTCCATCATTTGAGATAAATACTAAACAAAAAAACTTTATTATATTTTTATATATTATAAAATAAACTACGGTATGTACATATGTAGTAAATCAATTACGTATACATATACGTAGTTTATTTATCATCATTATCGTTATCAATCGTTATTATCATTACTCGAATTACAATTTACTGCATAATATACGACATACTACAAGAATTACAGTCTATAACATAATATTTAATATGACCAGAGTTACCACCTACGTCAATACTACCAAAAACTTGCAACTTCACTACAATCGGTCGTAATTCATTGCCTCAATACAACTAAATCACTAAGCCTGTAGCATTTGCACCAATCTGTGACACATCACACACCGTACAAAGTTTACCTTGATGTTCAGGCAAGTATGATGCGTGGCAATATGGACATTCAATGGAAGAACTGCCCTTATAAATAGGTGTATAAGAAATACCGCAAGCTACGAATGGATTATATTGATCATAATCTAAAGTAACTTCATCACGTGGAGTCTTATCGGAGAGTGTCTGAATTTGACGAGCCTGGTAAAAAAATAAATAAATAAAACAATAAACAAAAGATTTGTATTTCAGTAATAATCACTTTTTAAAATATCATACCTGTGTGGCAACTTGCTGTGGCGGTGCTAATTCTAATAATCTTCTAGCAAACATGGATGCTGTTAGGCAATTCTTGGCTTTATAATTCAATGTCATTGCAGACCGTAAACTTAGTTGTAAATGAGCTGGTTGTAATCGACAATGAGTGAAATACGCTGCCAATTCAAGTGCTTTTTTCGTGTTTTCTGGATTATCCAATGGATATTTACGACGCATTTGTTCCATAGATAGCCCGACTATATACTCTCGACAAACTTCTATGAGTTGATTCACCTATAAAATATATTGTTAAATTTATGCTTAATACATTATGTGAATAAATATATATATATGTAAACAGTAAATAAGTAAATAAATAAAAAAAATATATAATAAATTGTATATACCTCATCTACTTCTGACTTCTTAGACACAGAAATTAACAAAATTGAGTGAAGTATGTTACGAAATTGTATCGTTGCATCTTGAAATTTACCAAGTGTAGTCGTCTTGTAAGCTTCCTGAAGCTGAGAGGAAACAATATTCTGAAAACTATACGGTAGAATTGGTAAAACGCGACGAGTCTCGGTTTCTTCAGGATTTCGTCGAACATAGTAAACCAGAGGAGGAAGTGATACATTACAAGACAAATATGTACGTGTTGCTTGGAATGTTTTCAAAAAGTGTGATTTTAGAGGTTCGAAATTAACTGCCCCAACTTGTCTATTGAGAAGCTAAATTAAACGTATTAAAAGTTTATTAAAACTTTATTCACTGTCAACAAGTAATAATAACAATACAGTAATAGTACCTGCATCGCCGTCTCGAACGATCCTGCTGCAACGTGGTTAGCAGCCAAAGGTGAATTATGTATCCAAAGCTCAGATTCATTAGTGCCTGAAGTTGGAGGAACGAATTCCCCATGTGTTCCATTAGAAAGTTCTTGAGAGATCTCATTATTAAGTTGAACATTAATATCTGCATCAATATCCCATCCTGAACCTTCTTCAAGAGCTTCGCCATCTATTCGTAGCTCGTCAACGACTTTCTCAGTTACACCGTTAAATCCAAGATCATCATCCCCTCCCCAATCACCTCCAACATCATCAAGGCCTTCGTTTGCGTCAGTGAAAGATAGAGGTGCGGCAAGTGGATTGCTATCAGTAGTTATGAATGCACTATCAAAGAATGAACGTGATACCGTTAACAACGGCCAATTAGAATCTGTATGTTTAAGGATTGGCGTTGGTGGCTTCAATAATTGTCCATTTGTAGGCAAATCAGTAATATCATCAGCGGTAAGCCCAGAAGAGGTTAAAATTGATTCGGCTTCTTCGGTAAGACCATGGCTTTGCGCGGTAAGGTATGCAAGTGGCACTGGCAAGGTGAAAATTTGATTCATTACTTCTACCACAATAAATAATAATAAAATTAAGATAATAAAAATTGTAACGATTTGATACATTGTCCAACTTCTTTTAGCAGTTTGACACGTTCCTCAACGTCACCTAAGAAAAGTGAATTATGAAACCGTGACATATGATCGCTTCTTAATTCTGCGATCTTTAACATTTTTCTCAATTTTTCCAAATTTCCAGTAACCAAATATATAAATGAAAGACGATCAAAATTTTTTACTCTCTGATATGCCATTTCTACAATCTAAAAATTAAGTCAATACCTTAATCGCGTATAAAAAAAGAAAGTATTATTATGATGCAAATAGCGAAACATACCTGATGGTTGCCTTGGCGTAACGCTTCAGCACCCAATGTATTCCAACAATCTTCACGATCCATTGCTTTTGCAGTTTCTAATGCTACCTCAATATTTCCGCATTCAATAGCAAGATCAAAACGAGTTTTGTCATCACGTACAAAGTGCAATGCAATCTAACACATATAGAGTACGTTAATTTAGATAATAATAAAAAATAATAATAAATTATATTAAACGTTGGGGATGATGCTGAAACTTTGACTTATTTTAATATGAAATTTTAAAATTTTTTGGGGGGGACGTTTTTTTTAGCTTTTTTTTTTTTTGTAGTTAGGTTAGGGTTTAAGGCTAGCGTTTATAATAAAAAAATATAGGTGGATTTTAGTAGGGTTTATATTTTTAAATCGAGACCCCAAGTTTCAGCATCATCCTGTTTCAGCATCATCCCCGACATTAAATTATAGTTTTGAGTAATACCTCGGGATACCCTTTTTTCTGTAAATATGCGATAATAGATTGTCCGACTAAATTTGAACTGCGAATTATTTGAAGTACTTCATCATAATTACGCTTAATAAGAGCAAGCTTAAATCGATATTCTGTAGGATCAATGCTGATAACACGGGTTTTGCCATCCCTGTCAAGGCAATAAACATTTTTTCCTTTCACTTTGGTGAGATAAACGGGTTGATCAAGCGTACGAATTATTCCATTATCACTATAGAAATAATTGATTATCATAGTGTCATGAATCAGATGAATCGTAATTTAACATAATTTGTAGCATACCCCTGCGAAAGTGCATATTTGATGTGGTTGAGAGTGGAATATACAAATATACCAGCATCATCCCATGCACCACTCTTAATTCGAATTGTCTCATGAATCAAACAACTTTCATCTAAAGTCTTATTTGCAATAGTTATAGCTTTTGCAAATAACAAAAAGCACGTATTAATGATATCTCAATAAATTGATAATATAATAATAAACAAAAATTAGAATAATATTAACTACTTACTATGTTTGCTTAAAAGCGCTACTTGACTATGGTCAGAAGACCAAACTACATATTTTACAGGTGGTGTATTAACTTCGGAAACTATTTGACGTTGTTGAATATCATATAGAATCACTGAAGTTGGTGTACTAAGAAGCAGAAGATTACTGCTACCAGCGTTAAATATCTCGTTAACCGTTGCTGAAGGTTTAACGGATTTTGTAGTAGCATTAGAGAGATCTCTAATCTCAATTTGCTAGAGTCCATTAAAAAAAAAAAAAAAAAAAAAAAAAAAACTTTAATCAAAGAACGATTCAATATTAATCAAAACAATTCAATGACATTTACTTGACGAGATTTATCCAAAACTGCAAACCGATTTCTAGCAATAAAAATTGCAGAAGTCCCCGGACCACGTTTACCATCACCACTAACTTCTCGCGGTTCGCCACCAATTTCTTTTGGTAAATGAAACAAATCAAAACTACCCCCATCTGCAGTCTAATAATATTAATTAACAATATTATTAATTTTTCCGATGAATTAGAAGATTGTAAAATACAATCACACAACCAACCGTAGTAATTATAACAGCACGTTCAGCTGGATTATATGATAAAGCCCTTGGTTGCATATATTGTCCACCAATTTTTCGAACTGAGAGAACTGAAACGTCCGAATTATTTGTAAAGTCAAAAACTCGCAAATACTTGTCTTTGATATAATAAAGATTATGTTGATGAACTGCGTATGCTGGACGTTCTCTTTCCAATTTGAATACAATCAGACCATTATCGTGACCTTTCATAATAAGAAAAAAAAGTTTTTTTTTTTTAAAAAAAAATAATAATAATAAATGTAATATTAAAATAATTGAGGTACACGTACCAGCAGCAAATAGGTTTAATTCTGGATGAGCTGTCAAGACCCAAAACCTATCATGCTCGCGTCGAAAAGTTTGAACAAGTGTTCTTTTTGACATATCCCAAACTCGGATGGTTTTGTCTTCAGCATCAGAAATAATCAACTCCTGCCTAGGATGAAATAAAGCGGCAGATACATTATTGAAATGGCCACGACATGTATCGACTTCCCAAGCCTTGGCATCTAGAATATTAAATAGCAGATGAATTTATCTGATGTTGACTACGGATAATTCATAAAAGGACAGATACCATTCATTCTCCACAACTTGATCTGACGATCATCACCAGCTGAAACAATTAAAGGAAGGGTAGGATGAAATGTAGCCCAATTGACACCACGGTCGTGACCTTCTAACACATATTTCACAATTGCATCCGTACTCCCAAAAATATCAGCTTGGGTTGCAGCTGATTTATGCAAACTATCATCAAAACTCACAGAACTAGGAGCAGCATTTTTTTTCCTTAAACCTGAACCACAAAGAGAAATATTAATTAAATAGAATATAAAAAAAAAAAAAAAAAAACAAATAAATGAATATAAAAGAATTTTTGTATCAGATTGTTTAAATCAGAAAATATAATACCTGAAATATCCCAAACTCTTACAGTTTGATCTAAAGAAGCCGAAACCACTAAATCTTCTTTTGGGTGAAACTGGGCACACATGACGTAATGATTATGGCCTGTCAATATGGCAATGCAAGTTCTCGATTGCCAATTCCAGATTCTGATAGTTTGGTCATCAGAAGCACTAAGAATCCAAGGATATTCATGATGAAAGAATACGGTTCTCACGTAATCCAAATGGCCATTCAATGAAAATAGGCATTTACGAGTTTTATAATTCCATACTTTAATTTTATAATCGTCACCACCTGATACAAAAAGTGGCTGAGTTGGATGGAAGGCAATTCCACGGACAGGTCCTATATAAAGAAAATCCGACGTTAAATGGCTTAATGTACACGCAAAATGGAAGCCTTTAACTTACCGTCATGCTCATCAAATCGTTCTAGAAGGGTACCCATTCGATAATCCCATAACTGTATACAACCATTATGAAGTGAAGCAAGAATCCACGGCCGTTTTGGGTGAAAAGCAATTCCTTTGACACGATTACTTTTCGATTCAAACTTTTCGAATGATCAAGAATTTTGAACATGTAATAAGTGATACGTTAATTAAAGTTTATATAAGCATTAATTTAATTCAAGGTCAGGATGCTCATAAAATACCTTTGTTAGCATCTGCATTTTTAAATATACTGCCGTTGATATGAATAATCTACGGGAGTTGTATTAAAACTTTTGATATCAAAAGTATAAGCGTTATTTTTTTATAATAATCGATAATGATTGGTTAATTTAATCAGAGGATCTAACTTGACTTGTGGTCCCAAAGACGATAAAATTGTTTCTAACGCTAAGAATTGAAACCGGTAATCGCCTAAAAATTATTCCATATTCCGGGCCAAATTATGTTGATCGTAGACCGGGAATTCTTTTTAGTACGGTTAACGTTAAACAATTAACGATTAGAAAATTTTCTGGTCTCTAAAATTGTTTCTTAATTTTACTGTTTCTCTATATCGATACGTACAGTACATGAAAATTTTAACTAAAAAATAACGTAATTATGATATTTTGGCCTTGCATGTTATGCTACGTATAAGTAAAATGCCTAGCCATTCAAGTGACGTACTTAATTGGCCGCTCTGAAATCAACCAATCAAAACCATGCAAAATATGAAAGTATATATTATACATATATATACTTAATTAAGGAATAATTATATACGTATAACTGTATAATACGTGTTAAATACTTTATTGAATTCGGAAAATTACCTAGAATTATAGGATCAGATTTAGGGATTAGATGTTTAGGATATCCGTTCTCACAATGTATGCCTAAAGTTGGGCTGTCTTATCGAGGTAGGAACGTCCCGAGTGCCCCGATCTGTAGATCGTTACACAATTAATTAAAGATTTTTTTTTATACGTTTTACAATACTTTTT